TGGAAATATGGTTTGCAATACAGATACTGAGAAGACATTGTGTTTAGTAAAAAGGGATGTGTTTTAAATTCCCTAATGGCTAATGCCTGTTCATATCCTTGTCTGCTGTCAGGCTAGATTGCTTATAATTTTTACTGTTGAATTTTAGGAGCTTTGAAATAAATCTTGTCAATTTTATATAAATGTTGCAAGTCTTGATTGTCTTCAGCTTGTGGCTATGGTTAATGAGAATTCGCTTTGTTTCTGAACTCTACTCTTATGTACAGTCTGTTATACACGTGGCAGCTCATTTTCTTAGATCCACCTGTTTCGTGAGCCATGGGTGCAGAATCTCTATCCTCCTCCTCCCCTTCTCCTTCACAGATATCCGCGTGTTGGTCACAGCTCTGTGCTTCCCATGCCAGGAGGCTGGTCTTACAGGTGCACCACAAGCCCAGCAATGCTCAGTCATGGGCTTCGGGGTTCTTGGTCCATCACTGAGCAGTTCCAGCTTTATTGACAGAAGCTGGCATTGGTGATTTCACTGGGGTCCAGCCAGACCTCCTTTCTGCCACAGCAGAGGCCGCTGGATGTGAGCCTCTTTTAAAATGAGCATGCTCCTGACAGCGGTGGTAGTGGTGGAAGGAAAGACGGGAGCATGCTTTTAGAAATGTGTATGAAAACTCTTTACGTAGGGTCTGAGAGAGCAGAGTGGTCAGGATGTGTGCCTGGCACATGCCCTATCTGGGCTCCATTCCCAGCACCCCAAGGTCCCTGAGCACTGCCAGGGGCAGCACTGGCGGCACCTAGGTTCCATCGGGTGCAGCCCTTGAGGCCTCCTGGGGTAATGCTGTACTGCAGGGCGAGAGCAGCACCGTACCCTGAGCCTTTGTGCTGTATCAGCTGGCGGAGAATCACACTGATAGGGCCCCTAGATCTCCTGATCACTGCTTGGGTCAGCTTCTCAACAAATATCTCTTCATCTAAATGATTCTTTTTCTTTTTGGCTTTTGCTTTGTTTTTTGTGGACACACTGGCAGTGCTTAGGGATCACTCCTGGTGGCACTTGGGCAAATCATATGGGGTGCCAGGAATCGAACTTGGGCTTGCCGAACCTGGGCCTGCCGTGAGCTATCTCTCAGGTCCCTAATCTAAAAGTTAGACATTTCCTCTCCCCACCTTCTCCAGATGGAATCCCGGCGACCATGAGCTTCTACAAGCATGGTTCCAGTATGCGGGCACCAGGACTATTCTTCCGAACTACAAGGCTGCTAATGCGGCAGCGCCACCTTTCCTGATACACAAAGTGAGCAATGGAAAGTAAATGACCAGCGTCTGTCCCTGGAAGGCAGGCTTGAGTGGTGGTGGGAAAATCTGAGCAAAATATAATGCCCAACCAAAATGCATCTGGACTGTGCATTTAACTATGGTGCTATGCCGCCCTGGGAGGGGAAAGGTGTTTGTCCCTCCACCTGTCCCCCCTTGCAGTGGCAGCATGGTGGCCTCCATCTTTTAGAGCCTAATGGACAGCCAGGTATGAGACTGCATTGACAAGGCATGCGGGGCCTCATGGGCTAGGGGGTGGAACTGGCCCTGCTCCCTGCCCTAACAAGGCCCTGGGTTGCTACCCACAAACATCTCCTCCGGCTCCTGGACGACAATGATCCCAAAGACACACAAACCAATCTCAGAACCCAGGGGCTTTTGTCAGTAATCCTTCTAGGCTTATTACTAAAATATCAGAAATCCAAAATTGTGTGGCCACTATTGCAGCCACACAACATCATATGCACACATCATATGCACACAACATCATAATCAGCAACTGAAAACAAAATATCTAATGATATCTTTTTGGCAGGTCTGAATGCTGGGAAAATTCCAAATAATAATGTTGGGTCTTTTGTCGTAATATTGAATGTGATCAACATAGAGAGTAAAGTAGAAATCTGTCACACAGGTGGGGGGGAGCGTCGAGGGAGGGTATACTGGGGTTCTTGGTGGTGGAAAATGTGCACTGGTAAGGGACGGGTGTTTGATCATTGTATGACCTACCGAGACTTGAACTGAAAGGCTTTGTGACTGTTCTCACAGTGATTCAATAAATAAAACTTGAAATAATAATAATAATAAAAGTAAGAAATTTCACCCCCAGGGGGCGCTGGAATGATCTGCCTCAGGGCAGTAATAACCGAAGGGGCAACTGGAGGGCAGTGTTCTTAAAGAACTTAAAGAAGGGGGCATTGAATGATTTTTTTTTCTTTTTCTAAAAAGAGAGAGCAAGTTTGAGAAACTAATCTAGCTCTAGGCCCCTAAATTTTTCCCTTGGTTTTCTTCTGTAAGTATAATACTTTTCTGAACCGGGAGAGAGAGTACAGCAAGCAGGGCACATGCCTTGCACATGGCCTACCCAGGTTCAATCCCTGGCATTCCATATGGTTCCGGAGCCCTGCTAGGAGTGATCCCTGAGCAGAGAGCCAGGTTTAAGTCTTCAGCCCTGCTGGATATGGCCCCTGTCCCTCCCCACCAAAATATACTTGAGAGCAAAACCAGAAGTAATGCCTGAGCATTGCCAGGTATGGTCTTAAAACAAAAACAAAAACAACAAATAATAAAAGTACAAAACTTATCTTTTATATTTAAGTCACAATTCATTTTGAATTAATTTTATACAAGATATGAGATTTACTTTACAGTTGCCTTTTTGGCTTATGGAAGTCAATTTGCCTTACCAACATATGTCCAAGAGACTATCCTTCCTCCATTGAATTTCTAAGTTCCTTCAAACTAGGAATAGATCATAAATCTAGTCAAACCATGCCAGGTCCGGGTCATACTTCCATCTCTAGTCCCTGTCACCTCAGAAAACAAAATCTCAAGTCACAGAATGTGCTATTTGTCCCTTATCTTTTCAGAGGAAGGACAACCCTCTCCAGCAAGAGGAAGCCAATTCCTCTTAGCCCCTTACCCTCAAAGAGGGCTTCCCACACGTTTAACATCACTAATATTGATAAAATAATAGTACTTATTTAGCCACAGGAGGATGGATGGAACAATTCCTCACCCAGAAGTGACCGCTGGAGGCCTGACCACCACAGTTCTTCCCCAGTGCCCTTAAGCCTCAGGAAACACAGCATTTCATATACTGGCAGAATCTCACAGCACTCTCATGGGAAATTAACACCCTAAAGAAACTGGCCTCCAGATCATTATGCCTATTTCCATGCTTAGTTCTGTTTCTAGTTCACAGAAAAGTTTATCCTGTTATTAAAGAATGTCAATGCTTCTTCTGCCATAACTGTACACTTGGAAAAGAAATGCAGATTTAAAGCATAAATTTAAAGGGTCATCAAAAGCAGAAGTCCAGACTATTGCCTCTGTTTAGACAACCTCCTTTCAACCTCTAAACTCCTCCAGGTTTCAGTTTAGATCCAGCTAAAGTAGATTTCCAAAATCCACTCTCACCCTTCTGTGGGGTTGGATCTTCTCTGGAACCTGATTTTACATGCTATTATATAATTACTGCCTAGCTACCTTCACAGACACTCCTCGATGGCATGAACTGCTTTTCCCACTTCTGTATGTCGAGAACTAGCACATGGCCTGCAATTAGTACAGACTCGGCAGGTGTTTTAATATCACATATAACAGAGCTCCCTACAGGAAATACAATATAATAGGGAGAGACCCCGGGTTTAAATACCAATTCCACCACTTACTGCATGATGTAGGAAAGCCTCTCTAAGTGCTGGCTTCCTCACCAGGAATGTGCAGGGACAGTTCAATTCCTGCCTGGCTGACTGTGTGATCAAGGGCAAGGGCCTTCGTTTCACCTGCTTTCAGCATCTTCAACGAGCAGCTCCCCTCAGGCTTAGCTGAGACAAAAATGTATGAATTCAGCGGCACTGTGACACCACTGCCTAACGCGCTGCTTCTTCCTTATGCGGAACGGGGACAGTGCCACAGTTCAACCTGAGCAGAGCTGCTAACTCAACCCCTTTTTGTGTTTAGATGAAATTTTGGTTAAAAGGGCATTCTATTACCATAGAAGCAACAGAGATTATCTCTACAGTCATAATTTATTCAGGTGAAATGGAGGACAATCTCACTAAGAATTTGAAAGAATAATTTTCTGTGCAAATTCAATGTCCCTCAAAGGGCGGGGGGGGGGGGGTCCTAAGCCTGACAGCTGATTGGATCATGCTAATGCTGGAAATGTAAAGAAGTCCATGTAAGAATCCACTTCCAAATGAAAGCATCAACTACATCCTGTATATCCCAACCCTAAAGCCGGGAATAATCCCCAGCACATAAAAAAGGAGCTGCCTGTCAGATCAGAAATTCTAGCATGGAAAAACCAACAGAAGCAGTCGAGTCCGTTAAGGTTCACAGGAACGGAATCTCCAACTTCAAGCACTTTTTTTGAGGGAATTATGAAATGAGGGCTCAAGCTTAGTGACTGACTTGATGATGGGAGAAAAGTATGATTCAGTCTAAAAGGAAAGAATGCAAAAAAAAAAAAAAAGAACAAAAACTTTGGCACCAGACAGATCAGGAACCAAATACTAACTAGTCATCACCACTGACATACGTATGTTTCAGAGAGAAACAACTCTGAGACACCAAGTCCCCCAAGAATGAGAAGTCTAATACTCCCTGCACAGAGCGTTGGGAGAACCAGACCAGATTATCAGGTGCAGCGACCAGCATGGTGCTCAACGCACGCTAGGTGACTGATAAACACTGATTCCCTCTCCTTCCCTCTGTTGTTCTGATCAGCAAACAACGTTAAGCAATTCAGAAACAATTAAAATATACTTCTTCATGACAGAGTCACAAAACTCTAAGTCTATTTTGCAAGCCAATTCCTTTGGTTACACAGATCCAAGATCTAGTGAGCAACCTGATCTAGATTCATGGGGAGATCCAGTTTTGAGGCCTCTATCGAGAAAAGTTAACCGAACCTCAGGTAATAACACAGGAGTGGGGGTAGGAAATCACCACAGAAAGAGAAAGCTTACTTGAGCTTCGGTTCCCGTCCTTCACTAGTGTACTGCCAACAGATGAGCCCAATCAGGTCCTGCACCCTGGCGCTGGCCATTGTCACCACGGTCATGGGCATCAGTCTGTCCTGGCTCAAGTGCAGGGGGAGGTAGACGTCAATCTTCTTAGTTGCTGTTGTACCCACATGGCCCTGTGGACAGTACAAACATGAGGGTAAGCACACAGTGACAGTGACTGTCATGCAGCCCGACAAGAACACAAGGATACTCTCCAACTTCTGTAGCTCAGCCCATCCCAATCCGTTTGGACAGACCCACTTAGGAACCTGAAAAGGTCCCAAGTGGAATCACTGCCTAGTTTTAGGAAATTCTTTTAAAATTGTGCTTTCAAGTGGTTTCATGGATTTAACCCAGCTAGCAATGGGGTAAATGAACCCAACTGAAATGAGCAAATTAGTACAGATTTGCTGTCTAGTGTCAGGAGACTCACCCTGCCACTTACTAAGTGTGATCTGGAAAAGGCACCATTAGACTTTGGCATCAGCGGCCTCACCTGAAAATTGCCACAGCACTGCTAGAGACCCAGGATGTGCTGCACGGGAAGTAGCTATGCTCCCGAGGAAGCAGGCAGGCCCGTGGCACTAAACAAGCGCTTGTTTTCACGAAACTACAGGGAGCTAATCCCTTCCATATACATGTACTCTGACATCCAGTGGCTCCTGGTCTTTCATTATTGCCCTAACTGACATACCCACAATATTCTATCTCCACACTCAACCTTCCACTCCTCTCACAAACTTCTGATCTATCAGCAAACTTCCCAAAATCCTCACCTTAAAAAATTCCAACTCTTGGGGCCAGAGCGATAGCACAGCGGGTAGAGCATTTGCCTTGCATGCGGCTGACCTGGGTTCGATCCCCAGCATCCCATAGGGTCTCCTGAGCACTGCCAGGAGTAATTCCTGAGCGCAAAGCCAGGAGTAACACCTGAGCATTGCTGGGTGTGACCCAAAAAGGGGAAAAAGAAATTCCAACTCTTATCCTCAACTGAGGTCTGCTGGCCTCTGAGAAATCAGCTCGTTCGTCTGTCCAGAAACTGTTGTGCTGCTGTCTTTCTCCGCCCCCACTATTCCAGGCTAGAAGGTGGAGCAGACATTCTTGTTCCTACTATTTCTAAGTTATTGTTTCCTCTTTTCATGCAAAAATCCTGTTCCTCTGGGGTCCGAGCTCTCCAGCCACACCCAAGTTTTCTCTCAGTTGAGTCTGTGTCCACCAGCCTCCCAAATCACTCTCTTCCTCCAGCGAAGGCCAGCACCTGGCTTTAGAGCTTCCTCCCCTCCCCGACCCCTGTCACCAATCTTGATAACTGTGTCTAAGGGAAAATTCAGGTGAGACCCAAGTGTCATAACCCCTAGAATATGCCATCCCCAACACCACTTCATCCATTCCAATCCAAATAACTTTCTTGTGGCGTATAAATCAGAGGTTTGCACCAACTTCAAAATCTCAAATTAGAACGTCTGTTCAAGAATTCCTTCAAATTCTTCAACAATCTGCAGCCCACCACTTTTTAATTATCTATCACTCACCCTCCCCCCATGCTACCTCTAAATTATATGACTCATTATAATCCTTCCTTCATGAACAGCATTTTAAAGTTCTTTTCCTCTACTGGACTCGGCTGAAGAAAACGAAACTTAGACAACCCAACAGTGCATCCCCCAACTAAACAAACATCACTAAAGAAAAGCCACAGAACTGCCCAGAGTGATTTTACCTTAAATTCATAACAAACTTCACTTCTCAATGCAGGCAGAGAGAGAGAGAGAGAGAGAGAGAGAGAGAGAGAGAGAGAGAGAGAGAGAGAGAGAGAGAGAGAGAGAGAGAGAGAGAGCGAGCGTGTGCAAGCAAGCTGCCTGCCCGGCAGGTTTGAGGCTTCCGGTCTGAGGCCTGTGTGCCAAGTGTAGTTCTGTGGCTGTTGTGCGGGACCCCTGGTGGCCTCACCATGTACAGAGCACTGCTGGCAGGCGTGTACAGTGAAGTACTTGGCTAAAGGAGTGTGACTTTACGTAAGAGCACTGTACGAATGCTGGACTGAAGGGTACAAGCCCGTGGCTCAGCGTGCCAGCACCAACGGCAGCAAGGAAGGTGGTAAACACCACAGCAAGTCCACTACCTGTCCCCTTCTAAGACCACTCACTGAATACTTTTCTGGCATTCTCAAACTTTCCATGAGCAACCCCAGACCTCAGACTCCATTTTTTTCACTCCTGTACTGCCAACAAATCCAAATTCTCTTCATGAAGAGCCTGAAGAGAGGAACTCTCTTACCCGCCCATCAGTAAATTCACAAACTTCCCTGAATTTACCCTCTTCTCCCCATCCTGCCCCGTCACCTTACATTAGTTTCACTTGTCTCATCAAAGGCCAACCTTTCCACGTGTATCCTGTATCCCTCTGGCTCCCTCCTTTACAAGAATGTCACTCTCTTCTGGGTGAGCTGGTGTGGGTGCTGGTTTGGCTCTGGGCTCAGGAGTCACCTGATGGTACTCGTGGGCTGCCCATGTGGTGCTGGGGCCTAGCTGGAGTCAGCGGCAAGCACCTTCTCTCTGCTCTCTTGCTCAATCTTCTCCCATGCCATCAGCCTCTTCTCTGATGGTTTTAGTGACATGCATTCTTGGCTTTTCTCCTTGTTCTTTCCTCAGTCTCTGACAGATTCCTCTGCCCTTACAGATTATCTGTCAGCATTCTGGGGCCTCCTGATTGGGCTCCCTTTGGTCTGTCTATTTATCTATCTGCCTTAAATTTCCCCCTATACAATCTTACTGTCCCATGCTCTATACAGTTTACATCCCGTTGACATCCAAAACTTATCTCCACCTCAAACTTCCTTCTCCTCAGTATTCCAAACTCATATATCAACTTGTCTACACAACATGCAGATGTGCTACAAACAATTTAAATTTAAGGTCACATCTTAAAACTTCTGACTTATCCACCACTTCTTCCCACCATAAACCATAAATAAATCTCCCTCATTTCAATAAGTGCTATCACCCCCACCCAGGGGGTGCTTAATAACTTTCATTCTTTCTCCCTCATATTGTCAACTTACTTCCTTATTATGTTCCAGTGCATCTACTTCAAAGGTGTTTCAGAGGAGAAACCAGAGTGTTTTCAACAAACGCTGCTGGGACAACTGGAGAGCCACATTCAAAGAATTGAACCTTAATGCACATTATACACCCTTTACAAATATTAACTCAAAATGGAAGAAAGACTTAAAATGTAAGGCTGAAACTATAACTCTCTTAGGAAGAAATATAAATGTAAATCCTTTATGAGTTTGAATTGGGCATTGACTTCTTTAATATAGTATTAAAAGCATAAGCAATAATGGAAGGGGGAAAATGATCTTTAAAATTACAAAATCTTCAGCATTTAATCACCCCATCCTACCCACCACAATAGCACTGTGGTCCTCCCACTGTTCACTGATTTTCTCAAGCAGGCACCAGCAACATCTTCATTGTGAGACTTGTTGTTACTGTTTTTGGTATATTGAACATGCCATGGGGAGCTTTCCGGGCTCCATCGTGCAGGCGGGATACTCTCGGTAACTTGCCAGGCTCTCCAAGAGGGACAAAGGAATCGAACCCGGGTGAGCCGCATGCAAGGCAAATGCCCTACCCGCTGTGCTATCACTCCAGCCCACCATAATAAATCTTTAAATCCTGCTTTGCTTAAAAAGAAAAGAAAAGAAAAGTTTTTTGGGCCGCACAGTGACGCTCCAGGGTTACTCCTAGCTCTGCACTCAGGAATCACTGGTGGTAGTGCTCAGGGGACTGTAAAGGGTACCCGGCATTGAACCCAGGCCAACCACATGTTCTATCACTCTGGCCCCTAAATCCTGTTCTTAACAACAACAAAATACAAAGTTAGTCTGCCTCAACTAACACCATCAAGAAATTGTACAGAGGGTTGGGTAGATGGCTCAGTATTAGTGTGCTTTTTTTTTCTTTTTTTGCATGCAGGGAGCCTTGGGTAGATGCCTGCACCACGGAGTCACCCCAAGCACCAAGGAGACTGATCCCCAAGTACTGAACCAGGAGTACTGCCCAAGCACTACTGGGTATGACCCCTTATCAAAAAGAAAATTATGTAAAAAGATACACCATATAACAGGAGAAAAATTACAAATTATATATTTGATAAAAAGTTTACTATCTAGAACAATGGTTTTCACCTTAGGTAACAATGCCCCTTGTAGACCGCCAAGAAATTCAAAGTGTGGGGGGGGGGTGGTAATGGGGAAAAAAATCACATAGATGGAGACCAAATCACATCAACATTGAGACTAGGGGGCCAACTGGCAGGATGAGAGCAAAGGAAGGAAACAATAGCGATAGCACAGCGGGTAGGGCGTTTGCTTTGCATGCAGCTGACTTGGGTTCGATTCCCAGTATCCCATATGGTCCCTTGAGCACCGCCAGGAGTAATTCCTGAGTGCAGAGTCAGGAGTAACCCCTATGCATCACCGGGTGTGACCCAAAAAGAAAAAGAAAAAGTGGGCCATGGTCAGAAAAAAGACTGAGAAACACTGATCTGGCATATAGACAGAATCCTTATAGCCCAATAAAAAGACAAGCAATCTAATCTTAAAATGAGTCGTTTTTTAAAGAGACACTTCTCCAAAGAAAATAAACTAATGGCCAAAAAAACATGTGAGCTGTTCAATGTCATTATTCATTGGGAAAATGTAAATCAAAATCACAATGAGATATGGCTTCACATCCACTACTATATATGATTCTTTAAAAAAAATACAGAAAGATTAGTGAGGAGACAGCAAAATTGAAACTCATATATACTGCTAGGGAATAGCTAAGATGATACAATCATGTGGGAAATCAGTTGGCTATTTCTCATGAAGTGAACAGTTCCATATGCCTCAGCCATTCCATTTCTAGGTATTATATATTCAAGAGAAATGAAAACAGATACTCATAAAGAAAATTGTGGGCCAGGGACACAGCTGAAGTGACAGAACACATGGCTTGTATCTGGAGGCCCGAGGCCCAATGCCTGGCACAGCAGGCCCCTCCCCGGCACCAGCAGGGATGACCCTGATGGTCCCCAAGCCACCAGAACAAACAACACCACCTGTGTATAGCCCCCCACAGAATTAGTT